TACAATTAAGAATACCTGTTGTTTTGTCAAGCATGAGAACTTGATCTGCTAATCATGAGTCCTGTTGTGTTGATTAGAATAGTTCCAGTAAAAAGTCTGTCCAATTAAGCAGTAAGAGCCTATGAAAGTATAAATGGGGTACTGTGATTCTTAGCAGAACAGGGTGAGGTGCAAAACAAACACATAATTATAGTCTTAACCAAAAAGGTTGATGCTTTTTCCTACTCCTGAGTAGTGATGGGCCGAACACCCTCAGTTCGGTTCGCTGTCGAACATTGGAACCTAATGAATGTTTGACCGCAAACTTCAAACGTAGTGCGAGTCTATGGGACTCGAACTTGTAAATTCAAAAGTGCCCATTTTTAAGGCTTCTATGCAAGTTGTTGCCCATAAAAGGAGTGTGGGGACTCGGGGACTGCCCAGAGGGACTTGAATCAGTGAAACAAAATTCAAAAAGTTCAGTTTTTAAAGGGTCAGTTATTTTTTCATTGATTAAAGTAAAAAAAAAAAGAAAAAGAAAAATTCCTTTAAATATCATGCCTGGAGGGGGTTCACTTTAACTACCTGTAAAGTTGTACAATGTATAGGACTTGCTGCAGCAGGACTGACATGTTTTTTTTATTATATTTTTATTTAACAAAAAAAAAAAGCAGCATGGGCCCCCCCCCCATCCATACCAGACCCTTTAGATCTGGTAGGAAGGTTAGCAGGGACCCCATAGTAAGATTTTTTTGTAAAATAGTGTGAGGTTCCCCCTAAAAGCCATACCAAGCCCTTTAAACCTGGTAAAACTTTTAAGGGGAACCCCACCCCCAAAAAATGGGGGGAAAGTTTGGGGTCCCCCCTAAATTGCCAGCAGATCCCTGATCCGAGCACAGGTCTAGCAGGACAGGAAAGAGGGGGATGAGTGAGCGCCCCCCCTCTATGGGGCTTATCAACCCACATCCCCTCAGCATTGGATGTGGTCCCCATGCCGATGGGGTAAAGGGCCTCTTCCTCACAACCCTGGCCCAGTGTTTTTGGGGTTCTGCAGGCAGGGGAGCTCATTAGCATCAGGGTACCCCTTTAAATAAGGGGACAACCTGATGCTGCCCCCCTTATGAATATTTAAGGGGTACTAGTACCCTTACCCATTCACTAAAGGGTTAATTTGAGTAAAAAAATAAAGAAACCAGTCTTTTAAAAAATGTATTTATTTAACAAAACAACCGTTTTTGACAAGTTCTTTATTTAAAGAAAAAAATGGTTTCATTGTTGTAAGCCATTGTCCATCACAGTGTCCAGTGTTGCCACAACGATGCCGACCTCACCAAAATAAAAAAAAAAAAAAAAAAACCTCACGCCCACTCACCCATCCGCACTCGTCTGCCCATCGTCATAATCTGACATTTGCTGTTCAGATGTAAACAATTGGGCAAAGCTAGCGGTGACATCACCTCTAGCTCTGCTCAGTTGTGCTGTGATTGGCCAAAACATTGCACTGGACCTGTAGTCAGATGCATTGTTTTGGCCAATCACAATGCACTGTGAGAGCGAAGTGTATTGTGAGGCGCAGCAGGCGAACAGTCCGCCGAATGTCCTTATTGTTTGTGTGCTTGGCGATCACACGAACAGTCGATATTCGAGTTTAAGCCCATCACTACTCCTGAGTTTGCCATGTAGTTACTGAAGTCTGAAAGACTAAGTCTAAGAGACTAGGTTCCTGGGAAAGGATGTGATTGACCTTACAGAGTGAGCCTGGGGAATGAAGGCTGAATGCCAGTTCATCATACAAATGGATTGTGTCTTCTGAAATGGTTTAAGCTTTGCCACTCCCACTCAGAGAGTCCCTGATTACTGCATGTAGGTTTGGGCACACTGAGGCAAGTGGTTCTAGAGGCTCCCAGTCTAAAGTTAAAGAAACATCCCATGATGCACTCTGTGATCTAAGGAAAAAGTATAGTAGCCGCCACCACCACTTACACTGTGCCTCTGACTAATTTCAGGAGATTCAGAGTAAAATTAGGCAATATGACTACTGTGGTACTCACTGTTTTCCTTGCTAGAGGATCTGACATAATGGAAGCAAAGTCCTGCCTCTACCAAGATGGCTGCCTCCACACAAAGACAAAAAGCAGAGCAAGGCATGGTAAGTTAATAATGGGGATAGATCAGCTACAGGGAGACCACAAGAAATGTAGGTGATTAGTCCTTTGCCCTCTGCTTCCTTTTTTGTAGTCAAAGCTTCCAGATAATATTTCTTTTTGAAAATGTATCCCCCCTTTTTGTCCTGGTGACAATTCATGCTGAGAAAGAAAGTGAGGGTTAATCCAAAAATTTAGAGTTGTCAACAGAACAAGAGGTAAATCTTCCAATGGGGATGCCTGTTCTGCAAACAACTGCCTAAGTGGTGATTCCCCTTCACTTTGGGAGTCTTTTGAAGATACAGACCTATTAAGCTGTTTTGTGATTGTCACATACCTTGGTTGGAGGCCAAGATGATGAGAGCTCTCTTTTGTGGCTCTGATCTGAGCACCCCTGAATGTGATGACAGAGGTACAAAGTTCAAAGAAGCATAGGTGCTGATAGCTTGGTAGCAGGTGACTACCAGGGACAGGGAGGTAGTCATGGTGAGCCTATACACAGTAAGGCAGAAAGAAGCGGAGTCAGGTAGCAGGCTGAGGTCAGTACCAGAAAATCAGGCACAGTGAGGTCTAGTAACAATCAGAGGTCAGTACCAGGGAAGCAGGCAGAGTGTAGTCAGAGGTGAGCCGAGGTTAATATCCAGAATCCACACAGCAAAGTCAGGAGCAAGCCAGGTCCACAATGGGAAGTCAGTCAGCAAGAGCAGGAAAACAGGAACACAGATCACAGGGAAGCTGTAGAACATCCAGTGATTAGCACAGTAAATAAGCAGCTTGGCACCATTCCTGCGTTTGGGCGTGTGCCAATGAGCAAGGTCATGGGCCCCAATGCGCGCAGGTGTATACTGATACACCAATGTGTCAGTGCGTGTTGGTTGCTGGCTCAAGCTTGTTTGTATGCTGGCACATGTGCACGAGCATTAGCTGCATGATAATGAACAAAAGCTGAATTCGTTTCCTGACACATTTTCTATTTTTTTTTCACAAAACATGCATTTTGTATTCATATTAACAGTTTTTATTTTATGTTGAGCAATGTTCATATGTGTGCTTCCTTGTGGTAAAAGTAATGGGTCTTGCATATCCTTAAAGAGCATTGCCTACCACAAGGACACTGCTACGTTTCACAATAATGCTTCTGGACAGGCAGTCTATTGCGATATATCTACAGAGCAGAATGACAGTTGTGGTAGCAGACAATTGTTGTTTAATTATATAGTATCTATATATATTTATTAAATAATATTATTCACATAAATTCAATGTCATCTGGACATAACTGCAGTCAATGGGAAAAAAAAGCACTTCTAGACAGACACTTTAATCAGATTTGCCTGCCGAATTTGTACTGCAGTTTAATACTCTGAATATCATGCTAAATGATTTCAAGTGAAATAAGCCAAGTTATGGATATGCCTGTGATATCAAGTTGAATTTTTTGTAAATTACAATTATATTAAAGTGTTACTAAACCCACAACAGTAAAATCAGTCTGTATATGCAGTAAAGCATGCTTGATATACTCACTGTGGAACCTAAGGCAGGGGTGTATTCACCACAAGGCAAACAAGGCATTTGCCTAGGGCGGCATTTTTCAGGGGGCAGCGGCATCTTTCAAGGGGGCAGCGGCATTTTTCAGGGTGGCAGCGCCCCCCCCCCCCCCAAAGAAGGGATGGAAGAAGGGACACACACAGCATGGTGACCAGGTGGCATCTGAGAGGGGCTACTTGATGGTGTATGCAGAGCCTGACTCTTGTTCCCGGGGATGTCCGGAGTTGTGAAGGTGATGTCTTCTCTCTCACAGGGTCAGGGCGGAGCTTTGCCACTGTACAGGGGGTGGTGGTAGTGGAAGGCTCTCTCGGGTGGGGTGTGTTGTTGGTCTATGTCAGGCTCTCTTTGTGGGGGAGGGGGTCGCTGCTTGGTGTCAGAGTCTCTCTGTGGGGGGGGAAAACAATTTTTGTGTTGCCTAGGGCAGCACGACACCTAAATACACCACTGACCTAAGGAGTTAATCCTCTGCATTGTGTAAAAATGCTGTATGACCCTGTCTTATCTGATCCTTCCTTTCTTCCAGTGCCCCCCTCTTATCTCCTGAAAAGGCATATTGTGCGGAGACACTCTTCACATACTCAGTTTGGTATGTATTGCTAGAGAGTTTGTTTTTTTTTCTTGGGAGAGTGCATGTAATCAGCACAGGGCCAATCAGCACTGCCCAGACAGAGGTCAGGGGTTCTGCATCCTCCTAGAGCAAAATGAAAACTTCTCCTACAAGTTTTAACATGTGTTCAGCTGGATACTGATAGAAGTCACTAGACTGCTATATACTGCTGTTGAGAAAAGGTATTTAGCAGTTTATATTTACTAAACTAATTGCACTTCCATATTCTGTGTACTGTGGGAGACCAGATATAGTGAATGCAGGGTCCTGGGTTAAGTAACACTTTAATTGTGTCTTAGTAAGACTAAGAGAGGATCTAATTTATCAAAAGTGGAACATTTCATATTAGAAGATTATAAATTAGAAAGCCTTTATTGTCATTGCAAAAGCATGCAGTGAAATGTAAAAGCTCACTATGGGCTTTATGTTTTTCCCCCCTGCCTTTTGAAGTCAGTGCTTACAGGAAGCTTCTTGGTACTTAGTGACCCTACCTTTGGTATCTTGGCATTTCCAATATATTTTTTTTACTTTGACCTGGTCATGTAGGTAATATATTTGGCTCTCACAAATTCTCTTGTGGTATTTCCTCAGATTGTTTATATTATGTTTATATTAATTATTATAATTATTTTCTATTTCTTCTTCTTCTTCTTCACCCCTGCCATTATTTGTCACCATGTTGTCTAGTTTATCATTTATTATATATTTATTTATATATAGAGAAGCCGTTTCGGTGTTTGGTGTGCAAAAAAGATTTTTTAGATAAGTCACACCTTATCAAACACCAGAGGATTCACACAGGAGAAAGGCCACATCAGTGTTCAGAATGTGACAAAGCTTTTATAACGAGGCAAGACCTTATCAGGCACCAGAGGATTCACACCGGAGAAAGGCCATATCCGTGTTCTGAATGTGATAAAGATTTTACTACGAGGGAACACCTTATCAGACACCAGAGGGTTCACACCGGAGAAAGGCCATATCAATGTTCAGAATGTGATAAAGCCTTTAAACAAAAGTCAGATCTTAGCACACACCAGTGGGTTCACATTAAAAAGAGGCCATAAAAAGAGGCCATATCCGTGTTCAGCTTTTACAACTCATTACACACCAAAATGTCCACGGTGGAAACCATTTGACGACTTTGGTGAAGAATCCTCAACAACGACTGAAATGATGCCGGGCCCTACAGCACCTCCAGAGGCCGCGCCCCATAGCACCTCCAGAGGCCGCGCCCCATAGCACCTCCAGAGGCCGTGCCCCACAGCACCTCCAGACGCCAGCCTACACCACCCACAGACTGCCATGACTAGCCAGCAGCAGGCCCAGCTGCCCACCACCTTCCCTCCCTTTTCACTGATGAACTCCTCCGCCACTGCGCGATAGTCTCTGCACATCTATATGCCCTGATGTGAAACTTTTCACCTCCCTCGTTTGACCAGCACTCCGCTCCCCCTCTTAATATGCCACCTGTACTCCTCCTCCTCGTACCCCTCTTCTTTATTCACAAAATCTCCTCCCTCTACCCCCCTACCCCCCCAAAACAACTTTACATCGGACCTTCAATACTTTCCTCTCCCACTACGGTTCTCACCACCTCTGCGCCCTGAGAAACCTTTCACCTTCCTCACCTGTCCGCCTCTCCATTTACCCTCCTAAAATGCCACCTGTACTCCTCCTCCTCATACTCCTCTCCTCCATTCCCAAAATCTCCTCTCTCTACCCCCCCCCTTCTCCTCCAAAACAACTATACATCGCACCCTCACTGCTTCCATCTCCCCACTATGGCTCTCACCACCTCCTCCTAATACTTTACTCTCCCACCGACCCACACGCCACCACTGGTAGACTCGCACGCTCTTGCACATCCCGCTCTCCATGCCACCTTTCTCACCCGCCTTCTCCTCCTCAAGGCCGGGGACATCTCCCCGAACCCTGGCCCCTCACCACCTCACTCACCCACTAGGCACCCTCCTTCTTCCACAAACTGCTGCAACCCCCTCAACCTAATACCTGTCCCCCTCCTCCCCGCACCCACCCCTCCACTCTCGGTTGCACTCCTGAACGCCCGATCGGTGTGCAACAAGCTCAAAGCCATCCATGACCTCTTTATCTCCCACTCCCTCAACCTCCTAGCAGTCACCGAAACCTGGATCCAAGCCACTGACTCCACCTCCCCTGCGGCACTCTCCTATGGAGGTCTCATCTGGTCCCATTCACCCAGATCGAGCGGTCATAGAGGTGGTGGGGTCGGCATGCTCTTGTCACCGCTGAGCAACTTCCAAGTCCTCCCAAACCCCCCCTCTCTATCCTTCTCCTCCTTCGAGGCCCACTGCATCCGACTCTTCTCCCCCACCCCTCTGAGGATTGCAGTAATCTATCGGCCCCCTGGACCCATATCCCGCTTCTTTGACAAATTCTCTGCCTGGCTGCCCTTCTTCCTCTCCTCTGAGCTCCCCACCATCGTCCTTGGTGACTTCAATATCCCTCTCAATGTCAACAACCCGGCTACATCCAAACTCCACTTAACCTCTTCATTTTCACTCACACAGTGCACACAGTCCTCCACCCACACCGACGGGAACACCCTGGACCTCGTTTTCTCCCATCTCTGCACCCCCTACAACCTCACTAACACTCCTTTCCCTCTCTCTGACCACAACCTCATTACCTTCTCCATCTCCTTGTCCTCTAAACACCTCCCCCCCCCCAAATGTCAAACCTTCACCAGCCATAACCTCCGCAACCTGAACCTGGCCCCTCTCCAATCTGCAGCTGACTGTCTGTACGACATTATCCTTCCACTGTCATTCCTGACCTTGCCACTGCTGCGTATAACAACACGCTATCAGCTTCCCTAGACTCCTTAGCACCCATAACCAAACGTAGTGTTTGACCCCGACTGCTTCAACTCTGGCAGAATGACCACACTAAAACATCTTAAACGACGCAGTCGCGCGCTGGAATGATTATGGCACAAAACCAAATCCCCTCAAGCATTCTCCCTCTACAAATCTGCCTCACCTACACCTCCTCCCTCCACGCCCCCAAACAAGCCTACTTCGTAACCCTCATCAACACCCTCTCCTCCTGTCCTCACCGGCTCTTCTCCATTTTCAACTATCTACTCTCTCCCCCCCCCCCCTCACCCCCACCCAGTACCTCACTCACCGCCCATGAGATTGCCATTCACTTCCAAAATAAGATCGACGCAATCCGTAAGAACATTGCCAATGCTCCACCTAGCCTCCCTCCCACTACAACCCCTCCCACTCTCCCCTCCCTCCTCTGACCTTGCAACCACCCTGCCCCCCACCACCCTTAACATCCCGCACACTATAACCTCCCCAACACTCCGCTCCTTCAGCCTTGCCACCACTGAGGAGGTCACCAAGGTCTTCTCAGAAGCCCGCCTCACCACTTGACCCTGTCCCCACACAACTCCTCCGGGCACCCTCCCCCTCCATCCTATGCTCCCTCACCCACATCTTCAATCTCTCCCTCTCTACTGGTGCATTCCCCTCCCCCCTAAAGCACGCACGCATCACCCCCATACTCAAAAAACCCTCCTTGGACCCCACTGACCTGAACAACCTTAGACCCATCTCCCTGCTGCCATTCACTTCCAAGCTCCTTGAGTGCTTAGTTTACAATTGCCTAAGCTCCCACCTCACTGACAATAACCGATCCACTACAGTCTGGCTTCCGTCCCCTACACTCCACCGAAACCGCCCTACTCAAAATCACTAATGACCTGCTAACCGCCAAAGCTAATGGCCACTACTCATTCTTCTTACTCCTTGACCTCTCCGCTGCCTTCGACACAGTTGACCACCCCCTCCTCCTTAGTAAACTGCACTCCCTTGGCATCAGAGACTCCGCTCTCTCCTGGTTCTCCTCCTATCTCTCCCAATGCTCCTTCAGCGTTACCTATAATGCTACCACCTCCCCCTCTCTCCCCCCCTCTCTGTTGGGGTCCCCCAAGGCTCTGTCATCGGGCCCCTTCTCTTCTCCATCTACACTTCCTTCCTTGGCAAACTAATACACTCCCACGGCTTCAATGATCACCTCTACGCCGATGACACGCAAATTTACCTCTCCACCCCTCGCCTCACCCCTTCAGTCTCCGCCCGTATCACCCACCTGCTGAACACATATCAGACTGGATGTCGCTCCACTTCCTCAAACTGAACCTTTTCAAAACCGAGCTCCTAATTTTCCCCCCCCGTCCCCCCCCCCATCACGACCAACAACGCCACCATCAGTCCCACCCCACAAGCCAAAGTCCTAGGTGTCACTCTAGATTCAAACCTATCCTTCCAACCCCACATCCAATCGCTAGCAAGCTCATGCAGGCTCCACCTCTGCAACATCTCCAAAATATGTTAGTTTCCTAACCCCAGACACTACTAAACAACTCGTTCACTCCCTCATCATCTCACGTCTGGACTACTACAACTCTCTCCTCACCGGCCTACCTCATCACAGACTATCCCCGCTTCAGTCTATCCTAAACTCAGCAGCCAGACTCATCCACCTTACCAACCGCTCCTCTTTTGCCACCCCCCCCCGTCTGTCATTCCCTCCACTGGCTCCCGATTGCCCAACGCATCAAATTCAAACTACTAACACTGACATACAAAGCCATTCATAACGCTGCCCCAAACTACCTCACTGACCTGATACCCAAATACCACCCAACCCGTAATCTTGGCTCCTCACAAGACCTCCTACTTTTTAGCTCCCTGGTCTCCACCCCACGCCCCATGCCCGACTGCAGGACTTCTCCAGGACTTCCTCCATCCTCTGGAACTCACTACCCCAATCCATCAGACTGTCACCTACCCTCCTCACCTTTAGGTGTACCCTGAAAACCCATCTCTTCACGGAAGCCTACCCCACCCTCACCTAACTGCCAATCTCCTCCACTCCTCCCACCATTCCATCCCCCACAGCCACTTCCTCCTGTACCTCTATCCCCTCCCTCCTAGATTGTAAGCTCGAAAGAGCAGGGCCCTCAAACCCCTCGTGTATTGTTTTGTTACTGTATTGTCTCATGTACTGCCCCCCGCTGTAATGTACAGCACTGAGCAAACCTTTTGGTGCTATATAAATACTGTATAATAATAATAATGTGCACATCTCGTTGATATATTTTATGTATTTTGTTTTGTTTTCATTGAACTTAGTTTTTTTTTTCCAATTACTTTAATTGTGTTTTCTTTGTATTTATCATTTTTATTTTTTGCTTTTTTTTTTTTTGCTTTTTTTCTTTTCCCTTGTCCCCCCCCCCCCCTTTTTTTTTTTCTCCTAATGGTATTAAATCCAGATAGATTTATAAATTGTGGATTTTTTATATTTGTAATTTATTTTCAGATGGAATATGATTTTTCTATCCTTCAGACATGTACAAAAGCTCCATTAAAAGTCCAGAGGGAGGGAAAGATCCATAAAACATGTAGACAGAAGCTCACGTGTCTAGATTGTACCATTATACCCCATTTTTATGGGATTTTATTTTGGATTTTGTATTGTTCACATAATAAAAAAAATACATACAACACTGGTAAAATATATTTACGGTCCCATTTACTAATCCATATATGTTTTTTTGTACTATGAAGCCAGTTATATTCACCTAAGTCCCCATCCATATTCCTCATAACTGCTGTTTCCATGTGGGGAGACCACTGACCCAGCACTGCGATGTTCCCCTGGGACTGCCGGTCTCCTCCACTACCCTCTGCTGACGTCCACCTTTTCCTTGATCTTGAAAGGACCCTGCCCATCCAATAGGAAATATGTCAAACAGGCACTGATGCGGACACTGAACTTGGGGACGGAGCATCATGTGACCTCATCTACAGGTAACTATAAGGGAATTTTAGTTTGGGTTATTGTTTTTTTAAAATATAGTAATTAGTTAGAGACTGGTTGGCAGAAGAGGTGGGAGAATGCCACTTCCGCATGAAGTGGCAAAAACACATATAAACAACAAAACATATACACAATACAATAAAATAATTAATTTAAACCAAAAAATAATAAATCTATGTAATTTAAACTT